TACAAGTGGAAACGCTTCTGTTCCTTTCTGAACACTGACGCCTTTATGGCCACAACTGCTGGCCTCGATAAGGTTTTTACGTCCGTCTTATCACTGGCTGACTCGGGGCTTACCTTCTCCTCGTTGAAGTTTTACCTGGCCGCGTTATCGGCCTTTCATGTTCATGTGGATGGTTGCACCCTGTTTTCCCATCCCGTTACCAAACGTTTCCTGAAAGGTTTACTACGTTTGTACCCTCCAGTCAAAGCTCCAGCGGCTTTATGGGACCTTCCCTTGCTCTTGCGCCAGCTGACGATACGGCCCTTCGAACCCCTCGCCACCTGTCAGCTGAAGCTCTTGGCGTGGAAGACGGCATTCTTCGTCGCCGTCACCTCGGCCAGGCGAGTTGGTGAACTCCTGCCTTTCCGGCATGACTCGCCATACTTGTCCTTCCTCCTGGATGGTGTCCGCCTGGTGCCGGACATTTCATTTCTGCCCATCTGTAGTCGGAAGTCTTCCTCCCTGATTTTTATCCTGACCCAAAATCACAGGAAGACAGACTTATGCACACTCTAGACGTGAAGCGGGCCCTCCTCTTTTACCTGAGTAGGACACGCTTCACCAGGCAAACCTCTAAGCTGTTTGTCTCATACGCTACACCCCGTGTGGGCACCCCAATCACTGCCCAACATCTATCCAAGTGGATCGTAGGTCTGATAGAACTGTGTTACCTACTGGCGAAACAGCCGTTGCCAGGCCCGGTACGGGCTCCTTCCACCAGGGCTGTCGCTACTGCGTTCCTGAAGGGAGTACAGCTGCAAGACATTTGCAGAGCCGCAAATCTCCTGTGGCAGCCATTTTGGAGTGGCACTCATCACCCCCTCCCAAAGTTCACAAGGTGTCCACAGGCTCAAAAAGGTTGGGGACCCCTGCCTTAGAGAATCCTGGAGGCTTTGAAACCATCCCTGTTTATTATAATGATTTATTTCTTGCCTCTCTCTCTCTCTCTCTCTTTCTCCCCCCCCCCACCTTTGTAGTATTACTATTCAGTCCGGATCTTCGCAGGCCAAGAGCCCACCTGCGTCTGGGTGGGCTGGGTCACGCCCGACTACCACCAGCATGACGTGAATTTTGACCTCACCAAGGTGCGCAACGTCACCATCACCATGGGCGACGACAAGGGAAACATCCATGACAGGTGAGAGTGTTCGCCTCCTCTCCAACGCCTTGCAGCTCTGTTGAAAGGGGATTATGGGTAGGGTGGCCACCTCTGAGTTGGGAAATACCTGGAGATTTGGGGGTGGAGCCTGAGGAGGGTGGGGTTTGGGGAGGGGAGGGGCTTCATTGGAGGTCTAATGCCCTAGAGCCCGCCTTCCAAAGCAGCCATTTTCTCCAGGTTGAAAACCCAGATCTCCAGCCGCCACAGAGGTTGGCAACCATAATTATTCGGCTTATGTTTTCCTCACTGAAAGCACGGGAAGATTGAGCGAAGACTGGAGATGGGCTGTTGGGCCCTGGAAGGAGGAGAGATTTAGGGGGAGAAATTTAGGGCAAAAGGCTCTACATCTGACATTAGCACTACAGATAAGATTAGAATTTCAACAGCCAATCCACATGCAAAAGAACCTCCTCAGGAAAGCTCCTCCATTAGCATGTCACAGCCTGGGGAACTCCTACAAGATAATGACTCAGCCCTACCCCACCTTCCTGAGTAGATATAAATTACCTGCCTACCATTTTTCTTCTCCCCTTGACACAGAGAGTCCTCCATCTTTCTGTGTTATACCTCTGAGGATACCGAAGTAGTAACAAAAAAACTGTGCTGGAGTTTCGCTAATAAATTTGAAATATTAAGCAAAAAGATTTCATACAAAAGCCTGTACAATATTTGCCGTTCAACTTCATTCGCCCATGGAAAGGCTTTTCTAGAAACTGTTTCTACAATGTATTAGACCATCCTGAGGGATCCACGAAATTGTTGATGATGAATCAGTTGAAATGAAATAGAGAGACACCACATGTATACATCATTGTTCAGAAGAAGACTTGTGTCGAAATGGCAGAACATTCCGGAGATCACCGTCTTCACTTGCATTTGATATGTTATGCAAATATTGTACACTCTTTTGTATGAAATGTTTTTGATTCATATTTCAAATTTATTAGCGCAAACTCCTGCACAGTTCTTTGGTTGCTACTTCGGTCTGTTCAGGGACTGTGGCCATCAGTTTTAGACATACCTCTGAGGATGACGGTCACAGCTACTGACGAAACGTCAGGTCCTACAATGCCAAGACCATGGCCAGACAACCCGGAAAATCGACAACAACTAATGAACTCTGGCCGTGAAAGCCCTCGACAACATATTAGGTTTATATTGTTGTGATTTAATTAATTTTCTTGTTTTAGTGTTTTGTACAGTTTTTGTAAGTTTCCCTGAGACTGCTTTGCAGAGAGGGGGGGGCTATAAATCAAATAAATAAATAAATAAATTTAAGTACCTGAGGAAAGATGTCTTTGAGGGGTGCTTTCAGCCGTCTGTCTCTTCGACAGCGTCAAGCGGAGCAACTGCTACATGGTCTGGGGAGGGGATTTCGTCAGCAGTACCCAGCAGACCAGGGTCAGCACCGTGGACCTGGTGATCGGCTGCCTCGTCGACCTGGCGATGGGACTGATGACCTTCACAGCCAACGGGAAGGAAGTCAACACCTTCTTCCAGGTGGGCAGAGATGGAAAGGCCGGACAGAAGGATGGAGGATGCTGTTCATATGCATCGGCCTAAAGCTGGGGTCCCCAACCAGTGTTCCCTCTAAGCTGAGTTAGTGTGAGCCAGCTCACGGTTTTCTAGCCTCCGGCTCACATGTTTTCATCTCAGCTCAGGAAGGAGGGCTCCAGAGCAATCTAATTGATGCAGGAGCCAAATCGCTCGCTCACAACTTTAATGCCAGGAGCCTACAAAGCAGAATTTTTGCTCACAAGACTCCACAGCTTAGAGGGAACATTGTCCCCAACCTTTTTGAGCCTGTGGGCACCTTTGGAATTTTGACACAGTATGTTGGGTGCTAATTGATGCAGGAGCCAAATCGCTCGCTCACAGCTTTAATGCCAGGAGCTCACAAAGCAGAATTTTTGCTCACAAGACTCCACAGCTTAGAGGGAACATTGTCCCCAACCTTTTTGAGCCTGTGGGCACCTTTGGAAGTTTGACGCAGTATGTTGGGTGCTAATTGATGCAGGAGCCAAACCGCTCGCTCACAACTTTAATGCCAGGAGCCTACAAAGCAGAATTTTTGCTCACAAGACTCCACAGCTTAGAGGGAACATTGTCCCCAACCTTTTTGAGCCTGTGGGCACCTTTGGAATTTTGACACAGTATGTTGGGTGCTAATTGATGCAGGAGCCAAACCGCTCGCTCACAGCTTTAATGCCAGGAGCTCACAAAGCAGAATTTTTGCTCACAAGACTCCACAGCTTAGAGGGAACATTGTCCCCAACCTTTTTGAGCCTGTGGGCACCTTTGGAATTCTGACACAGTATGTTGGGTGCTACTGGGAGCAGGGGGCGGGGCTTCTTGCATGTGCCCACCCCCTGGGCTCCTTACCGCCGGAGCGCCGCTCCTGTGTGCTCCCGCAGGAAATGACCCCTGGGCGGGAGAATGACATGAGCTGCTTTGGGTCCCCGTTGAGAAGAAAGGCAGGGTATGAACAAAGTAAATGAAATCAGTGTCCCGAGAGTTTCTAGCTCCGGTTGCCGAAAGAGTTGCCAATACTGGGTTGGGTACTGCCTGGAGATTTTGGGGGTGGAGCCTGAAGAGGACAGGGTTGGGGGAGGGGAGAGAGGTCAGCGGAAGAAGAAGACGAAGAAGAAGAGGAGACTGGATTCATACCCCGCCCCTCATTACCCAAAGGAGTCTCAGAGCGGCTCACAAACTCCTTTCCCTTCCCCTCCCCGCAACAGACACCCCATGAGCAGTGCTCCCCCTCTCAGCTGTGGAGTCCTGTGAGCAAAAACTCTACTCAGTGAGGTTACTGGCATTAAAGTTGTGAGCGAGCGATTTGGCTGCTGCGTGTATTAATTTGCTCTGGAGCCCTCCTTCCTGAGCTGAGCTGAAAACGTGTGAGCCGGAGGCTAGAAAACCGTGAGCTGGCTCACGCTAACTCAGCTTAGAGGGAACAGTGCCTGTGGACTGCTCTTGAGAGAACAGCTCTGGGAGAACCTGTGACTGACCTGGGGTCCCACCAGCAGCTGCATGTGGAGGAGTGGGGAATCAAACCCGGCTCTCCCAGATTGGAGTCCACGCTCCTAACCACTACACCAAACAGGGGTGTGATGCTGTAGACTCCGCCCTCCAAAGCAGCCATTTTCTCCAGGGGAACTGTTTCCTGCAGACTGGAGACCAGTGTTCCCTCTAAGCTGAGTTAGTGTGAGCTAGCTCACAATTTTTTAAACTCCAGCTCTCATATTTTTGTCTTCACTCTGGAAGGATGGCTCCAGAGCAATCTAATTTATGCAGTAGCCGAATCGCTCGCTCACAACTTTAACGCCAATAGCTCACAAAGTAGAATTTTTGCTCACAAGACTCCACAGCTTAGAGGGAACATTGCTGGAGACCTGTTGTAATTCCGGGAAAACTCCACCTGGGAATTGGCAACCCCTAGCCAACCCACCATGTGGCATGCAGGAGGTTTTTCCAGTGCCCTTTAAAGGGGAGAGAGACTGTATCGCTGAGAAGCCTTTTTTAAGACGACCAGCCTCTTTCTCTACGTTTCTATTGTGTTTTCTCGCATCCCATCCACCCAGGTGGAACCAAACACCAAGCTGTTCCCCGCCGTCTTCACCCTCCCAACGAGCCAGAACGTGATCCAGTTTGAACTGGGGAAGCTGAAGGTAAGAGGCACCCCCTCAAAAGGGTATGTGGCCTGGCAGAACAGCGGGAAAACTTGCAGACGGGTCTCTTGGAGTGATGCTCTTCTCTTTTTTCTTTTTTTTTAAATCAATAAAGGTTTATTCAAGGTTTTCAACTTGTAACAATGCAAGATTATAACAACAATATGATGAGAAGAGCAAAAGGAATAACAACAAACATTAGTTAGCATTATCTAAATACTTAAGGAGGTATCATTATGCTTATTAACATAACATCTATCTTGCTACTAACTACAGTTCATTGATGGGTTAGTAGCTTTACCCTATATGTTACGCTAAACAATTCTATATTCAGAAACAAAGCCAGTATTTATCATTAACAGAAGAGGGAACCACTTCCTTTTCTGAGAGAAACTGAATTACTGGAAACCGCTTACATACAAATGGCGTTTGATAATCCTCGCTAGTGTGATTTGCTATGCCATCCGCTATTTTCCCCATAATAAATTGCATCCAAAGCTTATCATAAAGGTAAATGTAAAGGTTCCCTTGCTCGAAAGCCAGTCGAGTCCGACTCTAGGGTTGCGGTGCTCATCTCCGTTTCAAAGCCGAAGAGCCAGCGCTGTCCGAAGACATTTCTGTGGTCATGTGGCCGGCATGACTAAACACCAAGGCGCATGGAACGCTGTTACCTTCACACTGAAGTGGTACCTATTGATCGACTTGCAATTTCTTGCTTTCGGACTGCTAGGTTGGCAGGAGCTGGAACTAGAGACGGGAGCTCACTCCGTCATGCGGCACACTCGGGTTTCGAACTGCTGAACTACCAACCTTCCACAGCCTGCAGTTCAGCGTCTTAACCACTTGAGCCACCGCAGCTCCATGTAAAACTTATCATACCACAGGTCTAATGACAGGCCTGAGACTGATTTCCATCTAGCGGCTACAGTAATTCTAGCTGCAGCCAGTAATAAAGAGATTGTTTCTGTCATCTGTTTTTGGGGAAGAACCTCCGGCCACACTTCAAGTAATATTAATTCAGGACCAAAAGGTATCGCCAGACCAGTTATCTGTCTGATGGCCGTTTGTTATGTCAACCCAGAATTTTTGGATACAGGGGCACTCCCACCAACAGTGCCAGAATGTCCCAGGAAGACCACAGTCTTTCCAGCATAGTGGGCTGGTTGTTCTATTTATGTTAAACAACCTTGCAGATGACGCTCTCTCTCTCTCTCTCTCTGCCTCCCCTGGCAGAACATCATGCCGATCTCGGCCGCCATGTTCCGCAGCGAGCGGAAGAACCCGGAGCCGCAGAGCCCGCCCCGGCTCGTCATCCAGATGCTGACCCCCATGACCTGGAGCCGCATGCCGAACGACTTCCTGCGGGTGGACGTGGGCCGCATCAGTGACCGGCACGGGTGGATGGTGGAGTGTACGGAACCGAATATCATGATGGCCCTCCACATCCCCGAAGAGAGTCGGTGGGTCCCCCGCAACCGACCCCCTGCGGGGACAGAGCTGAGGACCCCGAGTCCTGGCACACTGGGTGGTCTCTGTGAGTGGGTCTGCGTTTGCCTCCTTGGGGGAGGACATGGCAGACCTCTCATCAGTGACCTTGATTAGACAAGCTGCTTAGACAGAGTCAGGATTCAAAATGATCTAGAGAGGCTGGAGCAGTGGGCTGAGACAAATAAGATGAATGTCAATAGAGAGAAGTGCAAAGTCCCACACTTAGGTACAAAAAAAATCAAAGGCACAGATATAGAATGGGAGGGACTTGGCTTCACAGCAGCACGTGTGAAAGGGATCTGGGTGTTCTGGTTGATCACGAGCTAAACATGAGCCTTGCAGTGCGATGTGGCTGTGAAGAAAGCGAATGCAATCTTAGGATGCATTCACAGAACCACAGTGTCCAGATCACGGGAGGTGGTAGTTCTGCTCTATTCTGCGATGGCCAGGCCTCACCTGGTGTACCTTGTCCAGTTTTGGGCACCACATTTTAGGAAGGATGTTGAGAAGCTCGAGCGTGTCCAGAAGAGGGCAACCATGGTGGTGAGAGGGTTGGAATCTAAGTCTTATGAGGAAAGGCTGAAAGAGTTGGGTTTATTTAGCTTGGGAAAGAGAAGGCTTAGAGGGGACATGATGGCAGTCTTCAACTATCTGAAGGGCTGTCATGTAGCAGATGGAGCAGATCTATTCTCTCTTGCTCCGGATTGCAAGACTAGATCTAACGGGTGGAAATGACAAGGGAGTCGTTACTGGCTAAATATCAGGAGAAACTTCCTGACTGTAAGAGTGGTTGAGCAGTGGAACAGACTGCCTCGGGAGGTGGTGGAGGCTCCGCTGGACGTTTTCAAGCGGAGGCTGGACGACCATCTTTTGGTTCTGTTGTAGGGCTATCTTTCAGCTATGCTCCCGCAGAGTGCAGGTGGTTGGACTAGATGACCTGCAGGTTCCCTTCCAACTCTAACATTCTATGATTCTATATCCAAAACTGGATTTCCAGTTTGTTTTGTTATTGTGGTGGAACATGCCTGCTCTCGCCTGCAGGCTCTATTCCGCCCTGTCCTCCAAAGTTTCCAGAACAGTTGGAGAGGCTTATCTTTCTCTTCAGTAGCCCGCCACCTCCATCTGACCTTTGTAAGGAAGTGCCCACTGGGAGGGTCAGGGCTCCCAACTTCCCTTCCAAATTCTGAGGCCTTGCCTCTCTGTCTTCTGCTGCCCAGCTGGGTCACCACGCAGACGGTTTACGGCCTTGCATGCCCCTGCAGGAATAGCCACTGGCCCACTGCCTGCCTTTCCCCTGGTGCTCTTTTTAAGATAGCGTGTCCAAGACAGTGGAGGTCTAAGTGGTACAGAGAACCCCTGCCAGCATCAGAAGTTATAAGGGAAGGGCAGCACAGAAATTGAACCAAATAAATGTTCATAAGCACAGCAGCAGATTGAGCAAGAGATTCAAAAGAAATGGGTAGAACACAGATCCTCTGTCCCACTCTCTAGATATGCCCTATCAGATATTAAAATAGGACAGGCTCCTATAGCTTGGGAAGTTACATATCTCTACAGAGTTACCATTACCTTAAAGTTTGCTCCAGCTCTTTTGGTGAGTACATGGTCAATGGCTGACTTTCCAGTGGAGAGGTCTGTGAGTCTTCTCATGGACTCAGCGCCCAAATACAAGAGACCTCCTTCCTCCTGCAAGGAGTTTTTATCACCTCCCTTCCCCCCCCAACCAGGTCACCGTACCCCCTAATGTCAAGTCCTTTCCCGCCCACCTCTCCACCAGGTGCATCGACATCCTGGAGCTGTCCGAACGGCTGGAACTGCTGAAGTTCCACTCGCACACCCTGAAGCTGTACTGCGCCGTCTGCGCCCTGGGCAACAATCGGGTGGCGCACGCCCTGTGCAGCCACGTGGACGAGTCGCAGCTGCTGTACACCATCGAGAGCAACCACCTGCCAGGCCTTCTCCGCAGCGGCTACTATGACCTCCTGATCAGCATGCACCTGGAGTCGGCCAAGCGCTCCCGCCTCATGATGAACAGCGAGTTCATCGTCCCCATGACGGAGGAGACCAAGACCATTAAGCTCTTCCCGGACAGCAGCAAGAAACCCGGCTTGCCCGGCGTGGGCATGAGCGCTTGCTTGCGCCCTCCGCTGCACTTCTCGGACACCTGCTTCATCAGCACCAACTCCGAGCTGTACCAGCTGAGCCCGTCCATCCCCTTAGACTCCCTGAAGGTCAAGGCCATCGCCATGCTGACCGAGGCCGTCCAAGATGGCGGGCAGCACACCCGCGACCCCGTGGGGGGCAGCGTGGAGTTCCAGTTCGTGCCGGTCCTCAAGCTGACTTGCACCCTCCTCATCATGGGCGTCTTCGAGGACGAGGACGTCCGCCACATCCTCAAGATGATAGAGCCCAACGTGTTTAGCGAGTCCAAGGAGGAGGAGGAGGTGGCCGAGGCTGGCGGAGAGGGTGGGGAAGAAGGAGAAGAGCAGGCAGAGGAGGAGGAGGAGGAAGCAGCGGAGGAGGAGGAGGAGGACGAAGGGGCAGAGAAAGAGGCGGGAGGGGGGCAGAAGGAGGAAGCTGAGGAAGGCGAGACGCGGGAGCTGAAAGCCATCGAGGCCGGGGAGGCGGAAGCCAAGGAAGACGAGGAGGGACTGGAGGAAGGCCTGCTGCAGATGACCCTTCCCGAGTCTGTCAAGTTGCAGGTAAAGTGCCGGCTTCGCGGCTTCCCTTCCTGCTGTATTTATTTATTTTTCATATTTATACCCCGCCCTCCCCAGTGGGCTCAGGGCGGCTAACAAGGGCAGGCCATTAGCCATGCCATATATAAAACACATGAAAACATAATAAAACATCCAACATTAAAACCACAGTGCTCAATCCATTACTAATGTCCTAAGTCCAAGATGGTAACTCCACAGTTCCAGATGGTGCTCCCCTGATGCACGTGTCCAATGACGACGGCATCAGATCTTCTACCGTTTCCCGGTTCTTCCTCGGGCCTCGTCAATGCATCCTTTAAAATACATTGACGGTGGTGGTATAATGGGGCGGCGGCTCCCACTCAAAGGCCTGGCGGAAGAGCTCCGTCTTGCAGGCCCCCGGGAGCTCGTTCCACCAGGTAGGAGCCGCCACCGAGAAAGCCCTGGCCCTGGTCGCGGCTAGTTTAATGTCCTTGGGACCCGGGATGACCAACAAATTTTGGGTCCCTGACCTTAGTGCTCTTGGGGGAACATGTGGGGCAAGGCGGTCCCTCAGGTAGGCTGGACCCTGGCCATATAGGGCTTTATAGGGCTTTGTGTCCCTCCCCGATAATTCACCTAATCTTGGGGACTCTCCCCCGGTAGCTTCGCGGCCATTCCCAAACTCAGGGGCAAAGAGCGAGCAGTCCAGTTCCCAAAGAGTGGACTGTCCACGTACCTCACTTCTGAAAAGTGAATCAATGCGAATGCAGGCGACGGTGTGTTCCAGAGAGAGAGAGCAGGAGCCTTGTGCAGGCAGCATGGTTCCCGCCGCTAGATTTCATTTGAGAAGTGCCTGAAATTACTCAATTTGCGATAACAGGAAATATTAAGTGAGGGGGAGAGAGATACAAGGAACCGGGGGTGGGGGGCAGTTTGGTAATCTCACCCACAAAATCTCCCACTGCAGGATTCTTGAAGATCTCAGGGCTTTGAGCCCAGCGAGCCCCGGTCCGCCCTCTCTTTCCGCTCCGGCTACTCTCAATATTCCCTGCTTCCTGAAGCATATTTATTCCTCATCAGGCTGTTCCCGCCACTAGATTTTATTTGAGAAGTGCTTGAAATGGCTCAAATTGCGATACAGTAAATGACAAGTGTGTGTGTGGGGGGGATACCAGGAATCAAGGAGGCAGGGCAGTTTGGTAATCTCATCCACAAAATCTCCCACTGCAGGATTCTTGAAGGT